GCCTTTTAGGTGCATGATGGCATCCACCGTTGAGCGGCGCTCCCGGAACCCGAACTGAGCCTCGCTCAGGTCGGGACCAGTCCGCGACAGGTGCTGGACTATTCGGCCGGCGATGACTCTCTCAAAGAATTTGCCGACCTCGTTCAGCAGGCAAATAGGCCTATACGCAGAAGGCTGCTCCGCCGGCTTTCCTTCCTTGCGGAGGAGGACCAAGTTGGCCTCCTTCCACAAGAAGGGGAAGGCGTCCGATCTGAGGCAGTTGTTGAACAGCCTCCTCGCTGCCTCGGAGAACTCCCATTCAAAGACCTCGAGCTGCCCGCTCCAAGGGGGGGGGGGTTCCCCCTAGGCGGGACATTTCCCGCCTTAATAGGGGAAAGGGTGCCCACCACCCTCTCGAGGAACTCGGGCTCCAGGGTCTCCGAGATGGGGGGCGCCGCTGGTCAAAGTCTATTTAGGACAATTCGATATGGGCGCCCTCAGGGATGCCGGTCTAGCTCCGCCAGCAATTCGTCCCAGGCTCCGGTCTTGGCCCTGCTGATGGCCGACCGGAGCGCGTACCGTGCGGCCAGGTACGCGCCCCGCGCCACTGCCGTCCCGTCACCTCCGCCCGCTCTGCGTTGAGCACGGAGGAGATCCCGTCGAGCTCCGGTGGCTTGTTTCCGGAGCTCCGCGATCTCCCCACTCCATCAATAGGCCGCTCGACGAGGGGCGGGCTTTGATCTCGGCATGGCGGCGTCACATATACGAGCCGCCATGCCGCGGATCGCAACGGCTTCTTCTTCGGTGTCGACGTGACCCGGGAATCGGGACCACGTCTCCACCTTGGCTGCAGCGATGAGCCTGTCCAAGTCAAGCCTGGACAGGGCCCATCTTCGAGGGGGGTCAGCCCTCCTGCGGTGGAGCAGCATTTCCCGGGGAGTGGCCGAGAGGACCATCTCTATAAGCCAATGGTCCGACAGAAACTCCCCTTCGGACACCCCCCACTGGCTCACCAAGCGCGCAGCCGGGGGGTGGCCCATGTCAAATCGACAATGGACCACCCCCGAGGGCGGACGCAGGTGTTGGTGGACCCCCTGTTTAACAGCAGAAGGTCCATCTCCGCCGTCCATTTCAAGAGGGTCCTGCCCTTTGCATTGGTGGACCAAGAACCCCACACCGTAGACCAAGCGTTGAAGTCCCCCGTCACCAGCACGGGATGGGGGAGACACCGGCGTATGCCGTCCGCCATTTCCCGTAGGAATTGCTTGTAAACAGGGCAGGACCATCTAGGGGGGGCGTAGACCCCCACCACACAGACGACACCCCACCGCACTATGACGAAACCACTGCCTTTCACCACTAGGGTGATCGGAGGGGAGCGCGGGAAGTGCCTCCTAATTATGGCAACGGAGCTGTCCAGGTCCGCGAGCCAATTAGGGTTTGACTCGGAGACCCAGAGCGGCTCCGATACCACGCCCAGACCGGCATCACGCCCGCTCAGGTCCTGCAGGAAAAGGTCCTGGGCCCTACGAGCGTGATTCAGGTTCGCTTGGAGAAGCCTGATGGATATTGTGGGCGTTCAATGTCCTACCCAGTGCTGCAAGATCGAGCATCCTGCAACAAAGCAACATGAGGGAAACGGCCCCCACCATGCGGGCACTACACAAGCGAGAACCGCACGTCACGCGTCCGTGTGCGCACGCGTCAGCGTAGCATGCTATATTTTGTCACTTCCC